CACATATTTGGAAATAAATCGGCAAATTGTTTACCATTCAAAATGATGTGAAAAGTTTTTTTTCACATCATTTTATTTCGTTTTTTTTTTCGATTATTTTGATCAGTTTGAAAACGAAGGCAATTAATTATTTTTTCATAACGTTTTCATTTCATCTAGAAAAATGTAATAATTTATCAGTGGAAAAAATGAAAGTTTTAATACTGAAAAGTTTAGAATAATCATTAATAAGTAATTTCTGAATATACTGAAAGTTTAGAATAACCATTAATAAATAATTTCTGGTTATATCTTAACGAAGTATAGTAAGTGACATTTTTTTCAAACTAATCAAAACAATCAAAAAAGTAAAAAGCCCAAAAATAAGTAACATTTTAAAGAATTAGAAGTACGCATAATAATTGATTTAATGGGAACGATTTTAATGATTTATTTTCTTTATGCTACATTTTTTTCCACTTCTCTCTTTTTCTCTGTTTCGCGAAATTTTCAATATGCAAATTATTCAATAGTCATCATAAATTGTTCAACACATTGAATTTCTCCACTTTAATTTTTTAAAAATGCACTCGATGTACATATGCAAATTTTTTTTTAATTTTGAGCTAAGAAATAAAATAATTCAAATTATTTCACCACTTACGATTTTAGTAGCGCTGAAGGTTAGCGGTTGTTATTTGGATTTTTCTCATATTTGGGAAACTTCGACTTACATTTTAAATTATTTCTAAGTAATTAATAGTCAAAGAAAAAAAAAACTTAAATGTTTTTCATTAAATCATAAAATAGATGAATGTAAATATTATTAAACAGTACAAATTTATCAAATATTCTACAGGATTCACAACAATATCAATAATTATATGTATCAGTAATACAGTAGCTTTTGTCAGTGTTATACATGGAGAGATTATGAATTTTACAGTCTTCTTTCAATACCATTTTAAAAAAAAATTTTTTTTTTGATAACGAATAATTATCACATTTTGAAAAGTACTGATATAAAATATGGTGATAAGGAAAGTAATTAAATGTAATTCTATGTATGCGTTATTATCAGGAAGTATCATAGGTTACGTGAGTGCATTCTAATGGGTGGGTATTTATCAAACGATATCATAGATTATGTTTGCCTTTAATGAAAAATCAGAGATAGTGAACGATTTATTTTCAAAAATAAAATTTATTTTTAAGATTTGAAGAGGCGAAGAAATGCATATTTTGCTTATACCACATGTATGTGAAATATGTGCAGCAGTAATTATTATGCTAGTGCTATTGTTTTGGCCTGTATATATTTGTCGTGAAGTAACAGATAATGAACTTGAAAAAGCTTATATTAATGATGAACAATGTGCGCTAGAACTACGTGTTTGTCTCACGTTCCTTAAACACATTTTTTTTTTTATTTTAAAGAAAAGAAAAGAAAGAAAGTGATAAAGGATATTAACATTTTTTGATCTATTTTCCTTTTCTCTTTTCTTGGAACTACTAAGATTTATTTATTTTTGTAAAAGTTAAGAATGAAAAAGTTACTTTTGTATTAATGAAGACGACAAGTTGAAAAAAAGTTGAATTTTTGAAGCAAAATAAAAATTATAATAAAGAAAAAGTATAAAATAAAAAAAAAAGCTCCGGATTAATTTTTTTATACTTAACGTATATGCAAATACAATATTAGAAGCATTAAATGCATTAAAAAGCATTAATAATTATATGAAACAATTAATTATAGGAACATTTGGAATCGGTTAAACAATTATGTTAAATAATTAATTACAGGAAAATTTGAAATTAGTGAAAAATGATACAGTTGTTGAGATTTTACAACAGCAGTTTGATGATCCAATAGATAATATCACTTGGCTAAATATTCGGTTATTTTGTTTCATAAAATTTTCTACTTTGTTTTGTATGTTTTGAAGCAAAAATAATAAATTAATTAATAAAGCATTTGTTTAAAGCAAATGATTTGTTGTACAAAATTGAAACTTGCAAATGTATATATAAAATTCTTTGTAAATTTTTCAGTTTCAGTTTTTTTTTCTTTTTTTTTTTTTAAGACTAATACTTTAGACATGAATATTATTATGAAAAGTTTACTGCTAATAGTATATGTGTATTGCTTGGATTTCGTCAACGATTCGGCGCTACTAATAAGCAGTATGGATCAGGTATAGTTGAAATTAATTTTCTTTTAAATTCTTTTTAAACAGTTTTCTCAAACGAAGAAAATCAATGATAAATTAATTGGCATATTCTTTGATCGATAAAGTAATGAATTATCACTTGATATGATTAATTATCTTTATGATGGCGACAATTTTAAGTATGAAAAGTATGAATTGCAAAAACAAAAATGGTTTCACCAAAACATATAATTTTACGTACAAATTTATAGAAGCTTAAATTTCAGGTCTAAATTTGTTTAAATGATTAAATTTTAATCTTATTTCAAACTTAAATATTTTTGCACACAGATACACACATATATATTTATATGCTAATGTATTTGCAGCACATTTGTTAATACCAATAATTACCGCCACAATAACTATATTTTTTCTATCTACACACATTTTTGAATTTATAACAGATAACGACAAATCATCATTAACAATTCAAATTTTCTGTGAGCTCATTTGTTGGCTTATCATTTCAATATGTAAGTTTTTAACAAAAACAATTTCTCTATTAAAATGTTTTCGTTCATTTTCTTTATTTTTTTATCCCTATTAATCTAATTGAAATAATTAAAATTGTACAATTTACAATATAAATAACACTAATACTTCATCAGAAATCATTTCAATAAAAGGAAGGTTAATACCTTCCCTTTTTTTTAAAAAAAAAAGAAAATGTTAATTTAATTGGTATAATTGAAAAGCATAAATTTTACATTGCAAATAATGCCAACAATTCTGCTAATGATCATTTCAAAAAATAAAATAAAATTATCCATTTGAATTATATATAACACCAATGCTTCATCAAAGATCATTTCAACAAAAAAGCATTAATTTTTCATTCGTTTTTTTTTTTCTCATTAAAATGTGTTAATTTAATTGGAATAATTAAAAAACATACATTTTGCATTACAAATAACACTAATAGATTATCAAAGATCATCTCAGAAAAAAAAGCAATAAATAAACAAAAAAAAAAAAATTAAAATAAATTTAATGAGAATACATGTTTTTGACAAAATATTAAATGAACTCTTCTTAATCTTTTTAATCAATCATTTTTTTTTTTCCTCATTTAGCCCTGACTATCATCGATTTTAATTGGAATGGTACAATTGAATTGTTACGAAATTTGGGCGCAGCTTTTCCATTTGAATGGAAAATTTGCAAATATGTTGCATGGTTTTGGGCTATTTTTGCAACATTTGAATTACTTATGATGAAATGCTGTCAAAATGTAACATTTTTACTTCTTAATTTTAGATATTTATATATTTGCAAAAAAAAAAAAAAAATTAAATTAATTATAAAAATATGAAATAATGATAGAATGATGTCAACAATTTGCGCTCTTCATTTGTTGTATTATTTATTGCTACCGTAATGAATGATTGCAAATGTTATTTATTGTTTAATTTTATTTTTAATTTTTTTTTTTTTTTTTTGATGATAAGGAAGAAAAAACAAACAAAAAAAATAGTGAAGGTGCAAATTTTTTTCACTTTTTTTATTGCTAAATTTAAAAATGTTCATAAAAATTATTTGTTTTAGATTATAATTAAATTTGATAAACCATTTAATTTAACAATTGTGAATTTACCAAATGATTATATGTTTATCGATGAGAGTGCACCACCATATCCAAATGATTATACTACGACTGATAGTGCTGTTGATCTTATGTGATCAATTTATTTCTTCGCTCTTTTTTTCCTTTCTAATTAAAATAACCCCCCCCAAAAAAAAAAAAAAAATGTAATTTTGAAAAAAATTTAAATTCAATAAACAGTTATTTTATTCGAGTTCTTATTAAATTTTACGTTAAATTGTCAAAAGTGTTTTTTTTCTTGTGTGCATGTGTTCATCATTTTATAATTATTTAATTAATACTGAAAATTATTGTAAGATTATTTGAGAGGAAAAAAGTTACACAATAATTAAATGAAAGAGCGTTAATTAGACTTAGATAATTACGATCGAATTCAAACAATAGCTGAATTATTAAATTATTCTTAAATTAAATAAACGGCTTAAGTTTGATTTTCATGCTTATTTAATATCTTTGTCGATTAGATAATTTAGCATTAAAAAAATATTATCAATAGTCAATGAAAAGGGTGATATAATCAAAATTGAGTAGTATCACTAAATGTGTAATTAAAAAAAAAAGACTTCAACAGTATTTAAAATTACAATTGAATCAAAAAAAAGACATATTTTGGAAGAAAGAAAATTACTAATTTTTTATTTATTTTTTTTTGCAGCTAAACTAAATAAGTTATATATCATGATGACAATAAATGAGGTAGAAGTTAAATAAAAGGTAAATGGTAAATAGAAGATGAAAGGTAAATGAAGGTAAATGGTAAAAGGTAAATGATGTAAAGATATTATTATATGGGAAAGTATAGACTAAGATTTACTTCTTAAAATTTAAAAAAGAAAAAACACTGCGAAAACTATTTTTTTCAACTCAAATATTATTTGTTGATAAAGAAATAAAAAAAATGTAACGAAATTAATTATTGCTGCAATAAATTATTAATGAAATTTATGAAATTTAATGAAAGTTGTTAATGAAATTTAAATAATATTAATCCATGCATTTCTCAATTTCACTATTTATTTGAAAGAAAAGAAAACTTTTTTTCTTTTTAAATTTAATCTTATATTTTATGCTTCAATGTTCAGCAAAAATAAGAAATAAAATATAAAAATAAATTATTAAATACTGCACTAATCATTGTTTTAATGTTTTATTATTCAGATATAATTTATTAAGCATAGATCGTATGAAAAAGTTCAGAATTCTTTTTACAAATTAAATAATTGATAATTTATGATAGTAATTAAAACAATTGGTAAGCAATAAGAGATATGTTGAAATTTGCAGGTTGAGAAATTATCTATTTTTATTTGCTCTTCAGTTGTTTTCTTGAATATGTCGATATTGTCAATATTTACTGGAAATAAATTTCTTTTTTCATTATTTTTGAAAAAATTGTTTTGTAATTTCCTTTTAAAATTCACTCATTTATATTACATTACTTCGAGTACTAGTATAGCTTAAAAAGTTAAATTAACATTTTCTTTTTATGAGCGGAATTATATTTGTGCTAAAAAATGATGTATTTTTAATCTTGAAATTGTTTACAACTAATTAAAATTTAATTTTTAGCATTTACAATTTCTAGCATTTTAAAAGACATTTCAAAACTTATTCATTTCGAATACTTTAAAATAAAGTAAAAAAATTGTCACAAAATATTTATTAAGCAAAAGTTATGAGTTATGTGTATTTTTATTTTAAAATCGATTACAGCTAATTGAAATTAAGTTTTAACATTCATATAAAAAACATTTCAAAACGAAATATTCTGAAGTAAAATAATTGTCTCATAATAGTTATTAATATTTCATATTTGCATGATTTATAGAATTAAAAAGCAAGAATTAAAAAGCACCTAGGAAAATGATAACATTTATCAAAAATAAAAATGTCAAACTTTACGCCATCATCGTTCAAAAAAATAAATAAATAAAAAGGTAAACAAATAAATAAAAAATAAACGAATAAAGTGAATAATGCTATTACTAAACTTACTCATATATAAAACAAAATTTATCTAAAATTTATTAATTTTTGTTTCTAAAATGGCACACCTAATGATCATTTTTTAATCAATTAATCAGTTATCATTTTCAGTGATAGAGCTTTTGCATAATGTTTGCTTTTCCTTTAATTACGCTTTTGCTTATTCAAAAAATAATAGTGAATATTTAATAAAAAATAATATTGAAGAAATTTTGAGATAATATCATCAAATTGTTCGCTTTAAAATTTATTCGTAAAAAAATCACAACAAATATGCGTCTCATTTGATAATATGCAAATGCTTATCATCACTATTGCGCATAACAACTATTCTATAGTGTTTTAATAATGTTATTGCAACACAACTTTTACCTGTAATTTGCTCTCATCAATTAAATAAACAATAATACAATTCACTCTTTACTAGAAGGCTATAATTCTCTTTCTATACACTATCACTAAAAATGATAACTGATAATGATATGAGAAAAATCGTTTTTTTCTTTTTAATAAGCTAAAATTTTCTCTCTAAAATCATTATCTAAAATATTGGTACGAAATAAATAAATGAATTAATAAAGATAACATATCACTGCTCCTTTTATGATACATACCATATATATCATTTTTAGCCTTCTCAGTGATAATGATTACATCATCAGGATGTTTCCAATATTCATTATCAATGAATTCTTCATATATGCAAATACCAATATAATAGCAAAAAAAATCATGAAATTCACTAATACGTGTTGCAAACATAAACTTTGTCTAAAATGTTAAAATAAACTTAAAAAAACAAATGAAATATAAAAATAAAATTATCTTAAAAAATTATATCTTAATTAAACAAATATATGAGAATTTTGACATAACTAAAAATTACTGATAAATAACAACAGATGAGTGGTAATATTATTAAATTGAACTGTTTTCACAAAAACAACAAGCAAACAACAAAAATAAAAACTACTTCCATACTAGTATCATCAACATTTAGTCGATTTTTTAAATTTAAAACATAAACATAGAAAAAGAAAAACAAATAATTTAAATATTTGAAAATTTGCTGTAAGAAAACTAGTCATTTTGTAATAATTTAAAATGTCTTTTTTAAAAAAAATGCTTCATTACAAATTCTACTAAAGAAATAAATCATTTTGTAATGATTCAAAATACGTTTTTGATCATTAGTAATTTATAAATTATTGAATGAAATTTACACAAATATTTTTGAATAATTTGACTTTATGACTGAATATAATTTAACTTATTTTTGTTTAGAAACTTACATAAGCTCGTCCAATATGTTGTCGAAATGAGAGAATACCTATTAGTACTGGAATGTTACGCTGTTTTCTCATAACTGCTGCTCCACCATCACCCTTGAAATTTAAAAAAAAAAAAAAAAAAATTGATTGCATTTTACAAATTCTTTTTTTATGTAAAACAAACATAAATTTGATAAATTAAATGTCAAAAAAAAGATGACATTAAATATTATTGCAATAATAAAAAAAAATTTCGATCAATTTTTAAATTAATATTAATTAATGAATAAAATTACAAATAGCTAACATTTTATTAACTAATAAGTAATTATACTTAATGCACATGTTTTTTTTATTTTTTAATTTTTAAAAAAAAGCGAGTAATTTCAAACTTCAGTAGCAGTTTGTTCACTTTCAATTATCATAATGCGTTCGCAAGCTGATAATGGAATACTTGGTGGACATTCATCAATGTAAACATTATTTTCCAGTAGAAGATTTAATTTAACATTAATTGGATTACTATCTTTGTGATGCATTAAATTTTCTAAATTTAAATTTATCACTTATCATAAATAGTTTAATCAATTATAATAATGAATTAATCATGATAAAAAATCAGTATTTGTAAAACACATAAAAAATTTGTTAAAAATGTAAACTATGCATTACTCATTATGTTAATATATTGCTTAAAAAAAAAGAAAAAAAAAACGAAAAAGAAAGTATTGGAATGAAAGTTAAATTAAATATATTGTAATTGGGAAGGGAAAGCTTACTTTTACGTCCATATGAAGCAATAATATAAATAGCTCCTTCATTTCGAATTATTGATTCTGATATGCATGCTAAATCAAGATTTACCTCTTCCTTATCATGTTCATTTTCTTCATTTAATTTTCTGATTAATTTATCTAGCGGTTCCACTTCAAAAATTGCTATATCCGAAAATGCCTTATAAAATGGAACACCACGAATCTGCAATAAATCAATTACTTTCATTATTTTTTTTTTACTTTTACTATTTTCCACTTTTTTTACTTTTGAATTTTTAGCAAAATTTCTGCTTTGAATAACATTAATTGGTTATCAAATGTTTTTAGTAATTATTTTTTGTGATACTAATTAAATAATAAATTAATCATCGACTAAAAGTATCTGCTCTAATATTTTCCAGTATAAATTTTAATTGTTCATTTATTTATTTCATCTCCATATATAATTTTGTTAAATGTTTAGAAAAAAAAAGTTTAAAAAAATATAAAATTTGTTAAAATGAGTAAAGTCCATTAAATTAAGCTTGTGCTTAATATTAAATTTAATTTTGTTTAAATAACAGAAAGATTAATTAAAGCTTAAAGATGACTACTTAAGATCTAATTAAAAATAGATGAGAGTAATTCATTATTTATGGTTAATTAATAAAATTTTCAAAAATAGAGTGATATCTTCATTGAGCATAAAATTCGTCCATAATTATAATTATAACATAAATATTTGGCCTTAGAATTAAATATCATCAGATGCTTAAGCAAACTATAATCGTTCATTACTAGGGGCTATTATTTATCTGCTTAAACCGATCATAATTAATTCGGTACTAGGCTATTGGGCCATTATTTATCAGCTTAAACATATTATAATCATTTATTACTAGGCTTTTAGGCTATTACTTATTTCATAAATCATTTTGTAATAAAATGAACTAACAACACTGAACATTTATTATCAAAATTGCTATTTAAAAATGCATATATGATGAATAATTAATAAAATAAGTCTCTTTCTTTTGTTTATTAAATGGCAGAAATGAAAGGATTACTTACAGAAGCAACATTACTAATTATTGATGACATTGGTACAAGTAATGCAATTGGTTTAATTGATGCAACATTTAATTTATTTTCATTTCTATCTGGACAATCCTAAATTAATATTAATATTAACGAAATGATCACAATAACAAAATTAAATATAAATTGTAATTGTAAAATATTTATTACATAAATATTAATTTGAAGAAAATTTTCGTTTTTTTCTTTCTCTTCCCATTATTTTAGAAATATTAATTTGAATTTGTTGTAATTAATGATAGGAAAAAACAAAATAAATATAAACATACAAATCTTGATACATTATCATAGAGTTTTTTATCTTCCTCACTAATATACAAACAAGATGCTCCACCATAGATTTTGAATTCATTAACAGGTGTGTTTTTTAGACCACTTAAAAAATGAACCAAATAAATTTTCTATATATATCATAATTAAATGATCATTGAAGTGTAAAGAAATAGTGATTGAAATTATCGAGTATAAAAGATAAAAATTTCTGTTATCATTGAAGTATGAATGGATAAATTATGTTTGAATTATTGTGTAAAATATATTAATTAAAATTATCATCGAAGTATAAAAGGTAAATTATGGTATCAAAATTTTTATCAAACTTCAAAAAATATATCATAATTTAAATTAGCATTGGAATATAACAGATAAGAAAATTTCTCCTAGATAAACAAAAAAAAAGGGATAAAATGTTTGTGGAACTTTAGCTGAAAAACAAATGATAGTGAAAAATTTGCAAAAAGTATTTGAAAGTAAAATTTTCAAATTAATATTTAAAGGAAATTTGAAGTTCACTATTTTAGAAGCAATTTCTTTTATTAAATTTTTGCCATTCAAATTTTAATGTCTTTCTTGTATTAAAAAAATTTTTGTTTCATTAATTTTTTCTTTCACTATTCAAGAACAGATAAAAGAAACTTTATGCTTTTCTTTCCTCAATTTTTCTTAATTCTTTTCATATGACTAGTTGATTTTCTGATTTCGGGAAAGTATTAAAAATTTCAATGAGATTATCAGTTCATTGTTATTTTTTTTTTAAAAAAAAAGATGAAAAATGTTTACTTTTCATTAAAATCCAAACAACTGGCTGCTGTTATAATATGACGAAGAGTAATAATAACTCCCGAACAAACATTAATATCTAAAAAAATAAATTTTCAAATTCCTTTTATTTTTTTATTATTAGCTAATCGTTGTAAAATTGTTAATTTCATTAATCAACTAGTTATTGCAGAAATTTGCATATGTCAATTAATGAATTTAAATTAATAAAATTTTTTTTTAACAAAGAAAGCCATCGTGTATACATTTACAAATTTTTTAAAAAAAATTTTTAAAATGAAAGAAATCGACATTACAAAATTTTAAAAGTGAATTTTGAAAATTATGCGAGAAAAAAAATAGAAATCAAATTATAAATAAGAAAGCAGAGTGAAAAGACAATACGAATTCTTGGAAAATTTAAAGATTAATTTTTTTTAGAAAAATAAACGATCAATTTTAAAAATAACCTTTCAAAAATTAAACTTTTAAAACAATTGTATAAATTTAACCTGCTTCACCGTTAACATTTTCTCTGATATGAATTATCTGCACTAAATGACCATAATCAGCAGATGAAATTATTTCTCCACCTAATAATTTGAATTGTGCTTTATTATTTTTTTGAAATTTGATAGTACGATTGCTATTTTTGTATAATGATTGACATTTGGTTATTATTTCGAGATTATCATCCTCGGAGATTTTTCCAAATCTTCCGCATTTACTACCTAAATTTTAACTGTTAGAAAAATTTTTTATTCAGAAAATTATAAATGGAAAAAGAATATGGCATATGACAATTGTCGATGACACAATTTGTTTTTAATTTTTAACAAACTTTTATTATTACTTAATATAGAAATATTTTTTCTGTTCATTTAATTTTTTCCTGAAACTAAAGACCAATTTGCATGGCAAATTTGAATGGCCAATTGCTTTTGTGCTACTTACTATAGAAAAATTTTATCTAGAAATTTAATATGTGTAGATTTTATAAAAAAATATAGGAATTTTTTCTTGGATTATTTGAATTTTCTTTTTAAACTAAAGACCACATTTATATGACGAATTTGAACTGGCAAATATTTATCAGTAGTGCAGTAAACAAAATAAATTAAAGTTTTTTTTCTTAGTTAAACTTTTATAAGTTTTTAAATATAAAGATAAAAACGCTTCCCCATGGAAAAAAAAAGAAAAAAGAAACGGAACGGTTTTTACATTAAAGATAAAAAACACTCTATGACTAAAAAAATTATGCAAATCAATTCTTCTCGTTTTATTGAAAATAAAAAATGCAATAAATGATTGAAGTTAAACCTTGAAAAAAGCTAACAACAAGTAACCACAAAAAAAGCATAAATGGAAAATGAAAATTTCTTCAGAAAAATAGTCTATTTTATACGTTCATTCTAGTATTTTGAATAGAAAATATTCAAGAAATGTTCTAGTAATATAAGTATTCTCCGATAAATAATAATAAAGTATTAGTAACAATGATATGACAAGAATTTTCGAATAAGTAAATTTTAGCATAGATAATTTGGTATTTAATCATTTGAAAATATTACTTTGCTTATTTCATTCAAAACCTACACAATTTAAATTTTGAATGAATTTTAAATCTAATTTAGAGTAGTGGTAAAAATTTGCATACTTCGAAATAATTCATGTTATATAAAATTATAATTAAGCGTTATTCTAACAGTTGTGTAAATCAATAACTACACGATATGGTTGGACAATTAACTGATGCCAAAATTACAGAAACTAAAGGAGTGCTTGACAAAAAAGGTAAAGAAATAAAAAATGAAAGAATGAAAGGTAAAAAAAGGTGAAAAAAATGATTTCAAGAATTATTTTAAACTTTTAATTGGTAGGCAGAAATTTTTAATTAATACCTTAATTCATAAAAATTATAATTATGCCATTTAATCTGCATAGTTGAATTTAGATACAATCTCAAATTTTAGCTCACATTTTGCCATCAATAGATGGAACAGTCAATCTACTAACTTTATTTCAAGCGTTTGTTTTCTTTAAATTGATCATCACTTTAAAAAAAAAAAAAATTGTTCTTTTTTTTTTAACTTTATTTTCTTATTATTAAACAAATTATAAATTGAATTGTCTCTCAAATTTTCTGATCTACAAATAAATATTGATCCTGTTTCCAAATTTAATTTATTTTTTGACAAATAAGAGAATAAAGTTATACACCAGGATATTAATTATATCGGGTATTAATTTTAGGCATATACCACAACTATGCACTGCTTTTACGGAATGTGAAATATTTAAAATTGAAAAACCGAATTTAATAAAATTACTTACTCTTTGCAAAGATGAAATATATCGTAACAATGACCGATGTTTTCGTGTTTTTCTACTTGTTGTTTGTTGTTTCGTTTTAATTTTTAGTGTGAAAAGAAACGAAGAAAAAAAAATTATAATAAACATATTTATAATATAAAATTCATTTAATGCTTATCAGTATTTATAACAATATTACTTTTTAACTGAATCGAATGTATTGATTGAATATATCAAAGCTGATCAGAATTAATTAATCTTAATTTATTACTAATATTGCTATTATTAATTTTTGAAATTTGTTCGAAATTCAAGGAATTTTTTCGATCTTTTTTCTTCCTAACTAGAAAAAATATAACTATAACAACGGTTTATATCCTTAAATCAGTGATAACTTCCAACAATCTTTTGTTTACATTATTTAAATTTTTATCTAAACAATCGGGAAAAAAACGCTATGGAAAAAGGAATTCAATTAAATTTGATCGCTTTTGAATCCAATAATAAAGTCAATCATAGTGTATTTATTGTAAAAATTTTTATTTGTGAAAAAGGAATTAGTATAAATGGTTTGAAAATTGAATATAAAATTTTGCATTTTGAATAATTAATAAAAAATGAATGAATAAATAAATTTTTTTTTTTTGCAGATGAAATTTTTGAGTGATACAAATGCTACGAAAATATTCAATACATTTTATGATAATAAAATGTTTATTCAATTATCAGATTTTTATATTAATTGGGTAAAGCGTTGTGGTGACAATCATAATGTCATCCGATCCATTCTTATCAAAGCGGAAAAAATGGATGCTAAGCCAAAATGGACAATTAGCATCTGGCGAAGGTCATTTACTTCTTGATAATTTACATTAGAAAATTTTATTTTATACGATATCAAGAAAGAAAAAAGAAGAAAAAGAAACGGAAATTCATAGAATTGATGGCAAAAAAATCTAACTGTTTAGAATTATAAATGAAAATATAAAAAATGAACTTAATAAATTACAAAACAAAAAAAAAAAAAAAAAAAAAAACTACGAATTAATTTTTCAATTGTAAAATTATTTGAAAATTCAATGATTTTCTTTCTTTTCTCGTTGTTTCTATTTCAAATCTTATTTTTTTAATTTGCTTAAAAAATTTTTCATATAAAATTTATAGGCAATTTGTTATAAAGGAAGAAGAATTAATTTTAAGTAATAATAATAGTAATATTATCCCTTCTACTACAACTATTGAAACAACTGATTCATTGGTATATCAGTGGGATAAACAATTGCAAGCAGACTTAATGAATAATATAAAAATACCAAATTTCATAAAAATTTATGATGCAAGCATTTCTTTTCAATATTTTTTTAGAGATCCATTTATTTTTATGTATTGTTTTCAAGAAAAAAATAACAAACTATTGAGAGTAATATATGAATGCTTTATTTTTATATAAAATATATTATCAAATAATCTAGGGAATTACAAATGAAATATTTAATGATAGATAGGTCAAATTGTTTATTTGGATAGATCAACGTGTTGACTAATGATTTGAGATAATGTAACGAATTTGTGAAATTTTTTTTTATTATTTAAAATTTTCGGAAAAAAAAATAAAAGTGAAAATAATAGTCTATTGAGCGTAATAATAATTCTTTGATAAATGATTTTTTTTTCAAGTTAATCAAAATTATGCTATTCTAATTAAATAGTTATTTTGAAATTTCAGAAAAAAATGCCACCATTCAATTCTACATTTGATAAATTATCATTTCCAGAGCAAAGTTCAAATGGTTCACTAAATTTTATTTGCTCTATCAGAAACATTCCAAATCGTTATTTCATTTTAAAAGTAAGTAATACTTAAAAATAAGTATTTTTTGTCGATTTTAAATTAAAATAAACTATGTATATTGATTACTTGTTCAATTTTAAGTGCAATTTTTTAGATGAGAGGATTTCCTTTTTTTTTTTTTTTTTTCAAATAAACAAACCAATTATAACTTTCCAATTTAATTTCACTGAAATGCAGTATAGTTTTAGATACGATCAAAACATCAAAGCTATTGGGAAGCATATATTTATCAGTATGTGGAAGAGAAATTACGTCTAATCTCAGGAATTATTCGAATATATCATTGTCTTTCTTTCACTGATAAATGCTTAACTATTCAAGAGTTTACAGCTGGAACATTGAAAGTAAGCAACCAAATTTCAGTATTAAAAAAAAAAAAAAAAAACATTGTAAATCCTTTATTGAAAAAAAAAAAAAAAAAACTAAAAAAAAAGAAAAAGTAAAAATTTACTAACTTTGCAGTTTAATTTAAAGTAATATTTCTTATATTGATTCATCCAACTTTTGCATTAATTTTTAGCACTGCATTAATTTCAGGAATTGATAGCAATTCAGGATTATAGTAGTATAAAATTAAGCGAATTCATAATTGCAATAATAATTCTTGATCTAATGAAAATTTTACGTTGCATACATCAAATGAATATTATTCATGGTTGCTTTAAAAGTCATAATATTTTCGTTGCTGGAAGGTTTTCAATTTAAATATTTCAGAAAATATATTCAAAAAATTTTCTTTTTTTTTTGATCTAGTTTATGGGTCTAATTTGAAGAAATTTAATAACCAAATTACTCTAAATTATTTATCCACATGCAATTTCAACTTTTAAATATTACTTATCCAGTCCATATTAATCAAACATTCGTTCACAATCAATCAAAATATAATACCTGATTAAATTATTTTTAAATTATTGATTAAACTACTATCGGATTTACTAGAAAGCTGAAACGTCTTTTAAACTTTAATCGCTTTGTAAGTTTTAACTTTAATATAAGTTTCGATCTGCCAAATTTTTCCTAAATTTTCAATTATTTTTTGTAAAAAAAAAAAAAAAAAAAAAAAAAAAAAAAAATTATAGGATAGCATATAAGCCACAGCTTAATACATTAACTAATGGTGCAACATTACTTGTAAAATTAGCTAATTGGGATTCTGCAATACAAAATACCAATGGTAGAAAGCACAGTGGACAGTATATCAATGAAAATAACGTTGTCACGGATGATAATTACGTATGATAGAGATGAATTCATGCTTATTTTGAATTTGCTAAATTATTTAACCATGAATTTTAGCTCTTCGGATTGTTTTTCGAACTTTTTATAACTTTTTGTACCAACACCTTTTAGTGTTACTAATTTACCATAATATATTGTTTATTATTTAAATATTGAAATGTTTTTAGAATATACCCAAATACAATTTTTTCTATTTCTCATTAAATAAATTTATTATGACTAATTTTTTCTTCCCTTTTTTTTGAATGAATAAGTTTAAGTAAGTTTGGTATATTTATTTAATAATATCAATAGTTAATTGTTTAAATCTTATTTACTTTTTCTTTTAGTGAATGCTCTGTTTACTCAACACTATCGGAAAAATTGCAGGAAGTAACAAAATGTGAATTAAAAATGTCACTGCAATCATTAATAGTTCATAGAAGTGATAAAATTATTCCATAAATAATAAGTGATTAAAATAGAAAATGTGGTATGACAGTAGAAGTTACTTGAAGAAATTCAGAAATCTATTTTAATATTTTTTATAATTTTAGAAATGTGAACCACGGAATTACGAAATTGATAAAATTGGCTTTGTAAATATTGTTAATGAATTAATTTCTAATCAGTCATTACGTTATTTACAATGCAAAAATGGACGCTACGTTTCATTATTGAATTTTGAAAAGTTTTTTTTTTTATTACTTTTTTTTTATTATACTTTTTTTATTTCTTTATTTATTTAAAATTTACAACCAACCAAGATTTTAAATATTTATTTACTTTATTATTCAACTGATGTGCAAAAATAAATTGCAAAATAATTTTAAAAAATTGATTTCTTTTCCTTTCTTTTCAAAAATATTATCACACTTACGTTTACTATGCTTTTAAAGAAATTACTTTTTTTTCATCTGTCTGAAAAAAATTACTAATTCATATTAAGGACAAATTCTGTAGTTATTGTGACAGTTAATGTGACAATAATTCATGCAATTACTAAACATCCAAAAATCTTTGTTTAATCTGTTATATTCAAAAGATAAGATAGCACTCTGAGTAGCTTCGATTATTAAGAATTTATCACTTATATATATATATATATATATATTATATATATAAAAAAAAACTTAAAAAAAAATTGATAACATTTTTATCATTTAAATTTACAGGAATTTGTATATGCATGAACTTTGGTCAAATTTATTTCATAAATGTTTGAATATGAAATTATGCAATTGGGATGAATTGATTAATATATTTGCGGAAACAATAGATACTTTTATACGTGAAAATGGAGATCAATGGATAGGATTAAGTGCTGAATATAATGTTCTTCTTCTGGAATTATTTAAGAAAAAATCAAAATTCTATCCTTAATTAGGAGAAATGGAAAAGTTTTGCATGAATAAATAAAATACTAAAATTGCGTATATTTATCAAAACATAATAATGAAAAATTCAGCTATAACTAATTATTATGAGAAAATAACAACAATGGTATCTTTCAATGATTTCAAAATTTTTTGCTATGTTGAAGTATGACTTCAGTTATTTAATATAAAAGTATAAAAATTTCTTTTATATCTGATAAAAATTTAACAGTAAAATATATGCAAATTATCAAAAAATTTCTTTTATATCTGATAAAAATTTAAATAAACAGTAAAATATATGCAAATTATCAAAAAATTTATTAATTAAAAATTTGTAAAAAAGTTCCATTGAAAAATTTTTATTAATGCGTATAAACTTTCTTCCTGAATTATTCGTACGAAAATATAAATACAAAAATAAAAATGTCAAAAGCAAAAGATTTAAAAATCAAACAAAAGCAAAAAAAGAAAAAAGAAAGAGCAAATGCAGCAATCATTAAAGTATTGTCTGAAATTTTTGTTATAAAAAGAAGATGGAAAATTTTCTAAATTAAAGCTAATATACTATTCGGTAATAACATTCAAGTGCAAAGGGCAAATGTAAATAGATATAAAACGATCAATCACTATGCAATGGATTTTGAATAAAAAGAGAACATTGACCATATGAATTTGTTGTTCTGTTATGTTTTGATGAATATCTTTCATCTTCATAGGTTACCTGCCTTAAAATAAATTTAAGTCAGAGTAAATGAGAAAATTTTAGAAATAAATCAATTTTTATTAAATACTTTATTTAATTATTATTTCAATTGCTAACTTATATGAAATTATTCAAAGGATAATTTACAAAATTCAATCAAATTTAATCAGTGAGGAAGAATTTCAAAAAAGTTTCAATAATTAGTAAAGTAATGATGTATCCATTGGATTATTTACTTTACGTATTTAAATTATTCATAAAGCTTACTTTTCTTGTAAATTATATTTGTTATTACAATGATAATTCCTATCGTTGCATGCGTTCAGAATATATTCATCCTCGGAATATTTGGGAACATACGTAATAGTCCTAACGTAAGGACTGACCGGTTGCCCATTATGCACCGATATCCAACGACTTTCTTTGATAATTTTTTTGAGTGGACCTATCGAATTAGCCACAGAAATAGAATTTACTGATGGTACTCTGCCACCGCTACCGGAATGACTTGATTGAGATAAAACACGGGAATCATCAGATCGCGGTGAATGCTCTGAAATAGTGTTATAGTTATTAGGGCTAAATATTATTTAAAAAATTTAAAAAGTATTAAGGAAAATAAATGAGTATTAAAAAATGTACCACAATTAAGTGTTATTTTCAGAATGCTAATTACATACAACGATATTTCTTCTTATACTAAATAAATAACGATAATTTAAATTTATCTTAAATTCATAAAATAAATGGAAAGTTAAAATTTGCTAAAGTTTTACTTTAGAAAAAAAAATTATTAAAAAGAAATCAAATATATTTATAGAAGCTATAGGAAACTATAACAAAAAAATATTTGAATATAAAATTACATCTTTTGCTCAAGATTCAGACAAAAAAGGAAAAAAAAAATGGATGAAAAGCGTTAAACGAAGAAAATTGATAAAAGCTTTTAAGAAAAAAAAAGAATTGATAAAAAAAAAAATGAACCGTAAAAAGTGTCGTTGCAATGATTTTGTCGTGATGGAAAAGTATTGTTGATAGCCTTATCAATTTCGATACGTGGAATTGAAACAGGTAAGATATCAAATGGCTGTATGGGTGTTACTGGACGGTAACCATCAAATAGTTTTCTATGTTCATTGTTGTTATTGTTTATTTCTTTTATATGTTGATGCCAAGAAGTATTTTTTGATGAAGAAACTGGACTGAATGATTCAATTGATGTTATTGGTCGAACTGGACTTACTGGTCCCACTGATACTTCAGGCTGAAAATGAGGAAAGAAAAATGCACTATTTAAAAGTTCATTTATTTGCTGTCCTTTTTTTTTTAAAAAAAAAGAACAAATATCCAAAAAATCATTTTTTTGCACTAAATATCCACAGTTTTTGAATTCTCACTTTTTTTAATACATTAAATTGGAATAATAGTTGGATAATCATTCGTGGAAATTTACTTTTTTTAAAAGTAATGATTTTTATTATATACATAGAACTCATTAATTCATAAAGAATTGTTATCAAAAGGTAAAATTTAACGATGAAAAAAAAAAAAATGGAAAATGTAGTAGTAATGAAAGAACTTTTAATTTGCAAAATATTTCAATAAACTATCAGTCCAAACATAAATAATGAATGTTCTTTTTTTATTCTAAGATATTCAATTATTTATAAAAAGAATTAATTTCTATGTCTTTTATGTTAAAAATTCTATGTTTAATAATTTCTACGTCCCCATTCATGTTAAAAACTTACATTGAAATTTTGTTCATTATATCATAAACTATATCAATAAAAAATCAGGTCGAAATTACATTGTTTTAATGAACTATTATAAATTCTACTAATATTTGTACAAATATGAATTCACAGACCTTCTTTTTCCTGAAGAACATCAATTGAGCAAAATGTAATATAGCCAATGAGCTGTAGGAATTTCTGTTTTGGAATTATATTTGAGTTTATTTTTTTGTTTGTTTTAAGCAAATAGTACATCACTAGCTGTATGTTTATTTAAACATCTTCTGAAAAAAGTATTACCACACATATATACAAACGAAAATTCATCAATCAATATTTAATCAAATTTAACATCATCAAATGAAAGTTTCATTGTAAATGATGAAATTCCAAATTATGAAAATTACTAAAATTTAAAAAGAAAAAAAATTTCGATTTTCTTTTCTCTTTTAACATCTAATTTCTTAAGTCATTTGAAAACAAACCATATTGAAAAATTCCAAAAATTTATAATTCTAAGTATTAATAATTCCAACGTATTCGAAGTAATTCTAGTATTTAGGAAGTCATACAAAATGCTATATTTAATTATAATAACTTAGCTTATATTTATCATAATATAAGCAATAAATTCATCATTTTCATCCCTTTCATCACTTTCATCCTGTATAGATACTGCAGGAATATTTTCATTATCAATAGATTAAAGACGTATAGAAGCTAATAATCTTTTCGAAATCATAATTTTATTTTTGATTTTGCTAGCTATGATAAAAATTCAAAGTCCAAACAAAGAAAAAAAATTCTTTTTCTCAATGTCCAAAAAAAAAAAAAATAAAGATAAAGGAAAGATAAAAAAATTAAAATTCAAATAAAAAAAGTTTCGAAGATAAATAAGTCATATTAAAGTATATGTAAGCTCTTTTTTTTTTCTTGACTTGTTTCATGCAAAACAACAGTGCATTTAAATGAAATGTATAAATTTTTCTAAATATATCGTCTGCCTAAACATTTCGTTTATAACTCTTACTAATATGCAATTTATCACTACTAAGATTAGAACTATAAAATGTTGAGAAAAGTAATATTAAAGAGTTTTGTCACAAACCATTGTTAGACTAAATAAATCATACTAATAGTTGGAATTATTTCGCAATGTAAGATATTTTCAAATGACTCATTCATTCTTTCTTCGGCTAGTTTTAATTTTAGTTTTCGATTAAAGATTCTGTAAAAAATTGCTCGTAAATAAGAACTTCTTTTTTTTGTGCATTTTAAAATAGCATTATATTTCTAGTCTTCATCAGGTTTAACTTATCTGCTATGACTCATTTTTTCTTTATGAAAGAATAAAATTAGAGAAATTCCGCTTACTTTACTGGAAGTTTACACTTTTCCATATGCGTTATATTATAACCAATTGCAATTATGAAAAGATATAACACCATGAAAGTTTAATAAAAAATTCTGCAAAACCATTACAGTTACAGTTCAGAAACTATAAGAAACATTTCAAGCTGTTAAAATAGGAGAATAGAACTTTTTTTACATGGTGCATTTTATTTCACAAATATACACGATTTTCCAAACAATTAGCATTTTAATTGATGAGAGATAATCACAAAAATCATTGTAACAATTCTGAAGTTAATTAAGGTAGTACTTCAAGTTTTATAATCCAAAGGATGAAAAAATTGCACAATGAAATGTTTAGAATTGGATAATTTTAAGAATGGTAAAAAACTTTCTGTTGTTACTTTTCTTTGGAAAAATTAGATTTCAGAAACATGAAAACATAAGATACAGTTATAGTACGAAGCTAACTTTGAAATCGCTGATAAAACTTTCCTTTTTCTTTTAAATCATTTACTAAAAGTTCTTTAAAGATTAATTTAATTGTTAAGAAATGTAATTTAGCTTTTAAATTGAGGTTTTTCGACTGCTGTGCAAAAAAATCAGTATTCCTAAATAATTATTATTAGTGAGGATTATCAATAATGATCAAATAATCATCAATGTTGCCAGTAATCATTAATAATCATGAATTGTCAGTAATTATCAACAGTTATCACTATTAATCCCTATCAATAATAATAATTACTTTTTTTCTCTGAAATAAATTATCTTCCATACATTCATATTACAAGGCTATGAAATGATTAAAGAAAGTTATACAAAAGCTTTTTTTCTTGTATTTTCTTAAAAATATTCATAAAGCAATAAACTTTCTTGAAAAATAATGAAATAGCACAATGCATTAGGATGAGAAGGAGAAGGAGAAAGAAGATAAGGAATGGGAGAAGGAGGAGAGGAAAAAGAAGAAAGAGAACAAGGAGGAGGAGAAAAAATGAAATATCGAAATTTTGGGTGAGTGTCGCATGCAGATTGGTGTGGTGTTTCCATGATTCGTTTCAGGGTTACGCATTTTTTACTTTATCTTTCAAATTTTCTGCATTCCCTTCTTTCACTTTCACTTCCGTTCTTAACTTTTACTTTTTTTCCTATTGTCCATTTAAAGTTAGACATTTGAAATGATGAACTGAGATAAATTCACAATTTACATTGCATAATTTAACAGTGATTGAAAAAACTGTTAGAAAAGCATATCATTAGAAAAATAAAATAACATCCAAAATGCTCTAATCATATCGCATCTTAAGTCAGTAATATTTCTCGAATATTTTCCGATAAAAATCTTCATAAATGATAACTGTATCACTTAAATGTAAAATTCGTTCATACATCACTTCGTTATTTCAGTAATTGATGATTGATTGGTGATAATTTTTTTATTTAGAAATTAAAAGTAGAATTTCCTAAGATGCGGTTAGTTAAATAACAGAATTAAAATGTTGATGCAAAATGAAATTTGTGAAAGATGTTTGACTAGAAGTGTTAGAAATATTTTGTGCTTAGCTAGAAGTGACGGAAATATTTCAAGCTTGGCTAAATGATGGAAATTTTTGAAGAAAAAAGTATGAAAATCAAAAATGGGAATAAATCTTAATGGTAGTGTAGGGAATAATGGAGTACACGCAAAATGTTATCCAGTTTTAGAGCTTTAAGTTTTATTTTCCACTTTTCAAAAATGAAACAAAAAATATAAAACATTAGTTTTATCTTTTTGTTCCATTTTTCATTTTATATAATGTTAATGATATAGGCATTACTCAGTTATAAATTTGTTTTAGTAAACTTTTGGTTTGTGGCGAGGGAAATGACTTCAACGCTTTTTTTTTTTGATTCGTACATTAAAAAAGTTTAACTTATGCCTTGTTTAAGCTCGTTTATAGTTTTCAGATCAAAGTACAAGTTATGAAATCTCGGACGAATGGTTTAAAGGAAAGTCCTGATTTTTCAGCAAGTAGTTCAGCAGAATATAGCGAAAGTGATGATGACAGTGATCGACATTCAACGACGTCATTAGTCGAGGTACATTCAAGAGGCAGGAGAAGTCAAAATGGGAAGAGAGGAAAAGAAAAAAAGCGAAGAGAGTTCGAGCATTCCGATGATGACAGCTTACCCGTAAAATTCAGTCGGAAAAATGACGAGTATTTCAGAAGGTTAGTATATTTCCTTAAATAGTTTCTGTAAATCATTTTTGCTACATTTTTAGATTTATCTCTTTTTGCTACATTTTTAGACTTCGTTTTCACTCATAGCTTCTCTATCAAATGTCCTGCCTTTTAAGGTGAAGAAAAAGAAATGAAGATTTATCCTTGGTTTATCCATTCATGCTAAATTTTAACTTATAGACTAGTATCTCAGTTATTTCATCAAACTGTTTTCTGCATCGACTCTTCGCGTACACATTTTTCTATGCTTAAAATATTTGCAGCTTTTTTTTTTTTTTTTTTAGACAAGATTCGTCACCTAATCGTGGCCATCGATTTCATCAGTCGCATCGTTCACGATCGCCGAAAGTTCGAGATGGAAATCAAAGACGAACTGCAAAACATGCTGAAGAATATAGGAGACGAAGTCGTTCTAGAGAAGATTATAAGAGAAGAAGCAGTCGTTCACGGTCTCATGAACGGTGCTATGTATCTAAATCTTGGAAAATGCCAAGGTATTTTAATTTTTTTTTTCCTTTCGTTGCATTACCTTTATTATTCACTTAGTAATTGTTGTCTCTTTTAATTATATATTCCTGATATTATTCTAGTAAAATTTGGTTAGTGATTTAAAATCATCTTCATATTTTTATTCTTTAGGTCATCACATTCGCCAGCCTTCACAGAACGTGGAGATATCAAAAAAGAATTTAGCGGTGACGAAAGCAGTGATCACCAAGAGTTGGATTCACGAAAAAAGAATGCACGAGAAGATGCTCTCTGGACAGAGTAGATTTTTCCTCCTTATCGTTTCATAATTTCGTGCTCGTAGATGTTAATCTATGTCTTTTTTAATTTAAAAGATTATTTGGTGTTTCGATTCTGACAAACTTGTGTTTAAGTTGATATTAGAGGTACTGATCTTTTACTCTTCACTTAATTAATTGATTTGTTTTTTATTGGTGAAAAGGAGATCTAGTCTGATTTGATTTTAACGAATTTGTCCTGTCTTGTAATAGCGACTGAATGTTATTTTGAACAAAAAAACAGTTTTTAACTATCTTAAAACATAGAAAGTGAAGTTTACATTTTAAAATACGAAGTGGGATTTAGTATTCTAAAACTTGGTACTGAAATTTGCGATTACTCATCAAGGGCTTATTGTCATCGTTATTAAACTGCTAGTGTAAAAATAAAACACATTATTGACTTCTTAAAACATTCTGTGTCTTAGACGTCGCAAGGAGCGTGAACGACGTTGTGAATGGGGCGTACGCAGTGTTTGGGGACGTTCTCCTCTTATGCATGAAATACACCAAGTATATGAGGAGTAAGTATATTTTTTATCATATCAAAGCTATAAGCTTTAGGTTTAATTTATGATGTAAAACTTTAGTACTCATTAAGCTTGTATATTAATGATTTGCATATTATTTAGTTAAACAAAAGCGGGAAAAGATGTAATTGTGGTATATTATTGAAGCTATAAAAGTTTCCAAATTGATTGCTTTAGGTATGAAAGAGTGGAGGAGGAGCTTCGAAAGGAGGAGGAACAGCTACCACAACCTTTGAATATTAAGGCTGCTGAAATAGCAAAAAAA